CTGAGGAACTGGTAAAGTGTCTTCCAAAGTGGCTGACTAGTTTATATTCCCAACCTCAGTGAGTCCCAGTCTATATGTGAGAGTTTCATTACTGCACATCCTCACCAACACTTGTATGTGTCTTTTTTATTCTAGCCATCTTAGTGGGTGTGAAGAGGTATCTTACAGTTTCAGTTTGCATTTCCCTAATGACTAATGATGTTGAGCCTTTTTTTAAGTGCTTATTGGCCACTTGCATATCTTGTTTGGAGATGTCTGTTTAATCCTTTGTCCATTTTTAAATAAGGTTGTCACCCTGGCCTGTGTTCCCAGTGGTTAGATCATTGGCCCTCTTACCAAAAGGTCGTGGGTTCAATTCCAGTCAAAGGCATGTACCTGGGTTGCAGGTTCAACCCCTGATCCCTGTAGGGACACATAGGAGAGGCAACCAATCAATGTATCTCTCTCATATTGATCTTTCTCTCTCTCTTTTCTCTTTCATCCTCCCTCCCTTCCACTTTCTTTTTAAAAAAACAAACAAACAACAACAACAAAAACACAGAAGAAATACCCTTGGGTAAGGATTAACAAAAAAATTAAATTAGGTTGTCTTTTTATTATTGAGTTGTAAGAGTTTTTTATATATTCTGGATACTATACTCTTATCAGATATATAATTTGCAAATATTTTCTCCAATTTTTTAATTTATTTTTTTTCTTTCTTAATAGTGTACTTTGGTGCACAAAAGTTGTTAATATTTTAACTTTATTTATTGTTGGCTATTATAGATGCCCCGTCCCCTCACCCCCACCCCCACGTCCCTCTGGCCATCACCACATTGTCGTCTGTGTCCATGGTTATGCACATATGTTCTTTGGTTAATCCCTTCACCTTCTTTCATCCAGTCAAAAGTTTTTAATTTTTATGAAATACAAATAATCTATTTTTTTTCTTTTGTTGCATGTGATATGATACCAAGGTCATGAAGATTTATACCTATATTTTCTTCAAGTGTTTTATTTATTATTATTATTTTTTAAAAATATATATGTTCCATTGATTTTTTACAGAGATAAAGGGAGAGGGATAGAAAGCCAGAAACATCAATGAGAGAGAAACTTTGACAAGCTGCCTCCTGTACACCCTCCACTGGGGACGTGCCTGCAACCAAGGTACATGCCCTTGACTGGAATCGAACCTGGGACCCTTCAGTCCACAGGCCGACACTCTATCCCAGGGGTGGGCAAACTTTTTGACTCGAGGGCCATAATGGGTTCTTAAACTGGACTGGAAGGCCGGAACAAAAGCATGGATGGAGTGTTTGTGTGAACTAATATAAATTCAAAGTAAACATCATTACATAAAAGGGTACGGTCTTTTTTTTTTTTTAGTTTTATTCATTTCAAACGGGCCAGATCCGGCCCGCGGGCCGTAGTTTGCCCACGGCTGCTCTATCCACTGAGCCAAGCTGGTTAGGGCTTCTTCAAGTGTTTTAGTTCTTACATTTAGGTCTTTGGTCCATCTTGAGCTAACTTTTGCCTATGGTGTGGGGTAAGGATCCAAATTCAGTCATGCATGTGTATGTCCAGTTGTCCCACCATCATTTATTAAAAGCCTATTCTTTTCCCAGGGAATGGTCTGGGCACACTTGTTAAAAATCAGTTGACCATATGTTTATTTCTGAATTCTCCATTCTACTCCATTAGTCTGTATGTCTGTTCTTACACAAGCACCACACTGTCTTGATTACAGTAGCTTTGTACTAGGTCTTAAACCCAGGAGTGTAAGTCTTCCAACTTTATTCTTCTTTTTCAAGATTGCTTTGGCTATTCTGGATCCTTTGCATTTCTATATAAACTTTAGGATCAACTTGGCTGTTTCTGTAAAAAAAGAAGAAGAAAACCTAAAAAAAAAAAAAAGCAGGGACATATGTCAGTCAGTTTTTGCTCAATAATTGGAGACTATTTATTAGGAGTCCTTAGTTACAGAGTTAGGAACTCAGTGATCTGAGGGTAATTCAGCGTACTTGAGCTTAAATATTACCCCATCTCTTCAAACAATCACCAGGCACACTAAGGGAAATGATGGATAATCAATTTAGGAGGTCAAATTGCTCAGAGAGACCAGGAATGTCCTGACTCGACTGTCATCTTCTGTTCCTTCTGCCTTGCTGTCCTTGCCAGCTTGGACTCTAGCAGAAGCCTGAGTCCTGGCCTGAGGCCTGTGCAAATGGCTGGGAGACTCCGGCAGGTCACTTTCTTCTCCAGCAGTCCAGGCCCTGTGTGCTCTCAAATCTTGAGAGGGCTCTGGTCCCTAAGTCCTACATCCCAGTGCTCAGAGACCCTATAAATCTTCTATGCACACACTCTAGCAGAAGCCTCCCCTCCCATCAGAGAGCTTTGCAGGGACACTTGGAAGAAACAGCATTGCAAGGACCCTGGGCTCTGATTCAAAAATTGCTGGCTTCTAAGTCACAGACAGTTAAGCACGCTAATCCATAAGGGCAAAAGGCAAAATAAATAGATAACAGCAGTTTTTAATCATATAAAAACTAAATGTTGATCCATGTAGGAATGTCAGGGAACTTCACATTCCCACTGCTGCTTGGGACTCATGGGCCATGCAGTTTTTATTTTCTCTAGCTGCAGTGTTCCAAGTCTCCTAGGCAAGGATTCCTAGCGAATTAAACCTCTGTACACTGAGCCTTTTGCTACTGTCCTTTCTCAGGGAGTCAGAGTACAATTTGCAGATGAGCTTCCTGCTCTGGGAATCATGAAGAAGTTCTGCAGGTCTCTGGGACTGTCAGGGGCTGGTGGGAGAGCTCTGTTGAAGGCACTGGTTTCACAACCATCCTGGTTGGTTATGAGCACTGTAAAAACACTGCTGCCCCATGTGGCTACTTTTTTTTTTTGGTCAAGGGGCCTCAGTTTCCCTGGCCTTTGAGTGATTAAGTACACCTGATGCAGGGATGAAAACCATTTGGGAGTCCCTGGCTGGCCTATAACCCTCTCGGGGAATGAACCACCTGCCTGGCTTCTGTGTGTCTTCCATGCCCACAATCCATTAGCTGAGCAGTGACCAATCAGACTCTCTCTTTCTGGAATTGGGAGATCTACCCAAACTGCTGTCACTCAATGCCTTGTACATGGACTTGTATGGATATGTCAAATGGCCACCATGTGTGGGCCAAGGTTTGGAGAGCAGGTAACCTGAGTGAGCAGAAACGCTGGGTTCAGGAGAAAGTCAGAAGTAGAAAGAAAGGAAAATAAGCAAAGGGCAACGCCCATGCCTACCTTCCCCATAATGCTAGCTGGGCCTGCTGCAGTGGCCAGGCCCAGCCCAGATGCGGGACGAACCATGAAGGACATCTGTCCTATCCAGCTCCTCCGACTTTGCTACCTAAGTGGGGGAACCCAGGAGTACCCCAGGATCCAGGGGCACTTGGGCATGTCTGAGGAATATTTTTTAGGCGTTTTGCCTTTTTAAAAAAATTAATTGCGGAAGCATTTTACCTTAGTATAGGTCAATGCTTAATAAAAAGTGTTTTCCTACAAAATTTTCGAGCTAAAACCGTGTCCCCTTGGATTCTGGATTCCTGATTTACTAGCCCCACTTTGAGAAACAAGGAATTTGTCAGGCGTCTGATTTCACAGGTGAGAGGATGAAGCCAAAGACAGGGCCTTTCTCCTTTCCACCTTGCCCTCCGTTTTCTAATCTGAAAAATGAGGTTATGTGGTATTTCTGAGGCTGCGATGTAGATTAAGAAACTGAACAAAGCACTTCGCAAAGTGCCTTATAGACTTGCCTTGTGAGGAATGGTTGTACGCATTACCTTTCCCTTCCGGTCCCTCCCTCCTCCCTCCTCCCTCCCCCCCTCTCCCCTTTCCTCCCCTCCGCCTCCGCCCTCCGCCCGCGCCCTCCGCCCGCCCCCTCCGCCCCACCTCCGCTCTCTGCCCCGCCTCCCTCCTCCGCCCCTTCTCGTCCTTCACCGGAAGCCGAGGCCGCAGCCGGGCAGTGTCCGTCAGAGCCGGAGCCCGGACCCCGCAGCCTCCAGCGCCTGGACGGGTAACCGCTCGCGACCGCCGGGCAGCCCGCCGCCCGCGGGCCCAAGCCACCCATCCGATCCGGGCGCTGGGGTTCCCGATCGCTCCTGGCGGTGCCCGCACACCCCGCCAGGAGCCGGCACCCCGCGGCCTCGTTCCCCTCCGCCCGTCCCCTCCTCGCGTCCCCTCCCTGCGAGGGAGGGAGCACCTTCCCCCGAATGTGGGTTTGTAGGCATTTCTGGGCTCTTGAATGAACTTCTTGAAGTTTCTTTCAACCCCAGCTTAAGTGGGACGGCGTCGCGCCCGCCTCTTTCTGTAACTAACCTCTGGTTCTTGCGCTGCAACTTGTTGGAAGCCCGGAGGTTGCGCGTTTCCCACGCTGCGCTCCCTCTGCAGGGTTTCCGCGGTGGCTCCGAGCTGGCAGTGGAGCCCTGTCTGCAGACCTTTCAGAGCCTTCTTGGCCCAGGGCCTGGCTAGCTGGAGGCCAGTGACCTGCAGGGACCTCCACCCCAGGGACACAGCCTGCGATCTGCCCACAGTGGCCAGGGGTTCTGCTGCTGGGGTCCATGTCTCTGCTCTGCCCCACCCCTTCTCTGAAAAACCTCTCCACCTCTCAGAGGAGCTTTTCCCCAAATGGTCCCCAGCCAGGGCAGCCTGTTTCCCTTGTATTCATCTGGCCCATCTCCACTCTGGAATAAGATCAGAGTCACAAGGATCTATCTATATGAAAGCCTAAGCAACCATGCAACCGAATGGACCACCAAACAGGCTCCGTGGGTTGGGGGGGGGGGGTAGGAGGGGGGGTGGGGGTGGAGGGGGCTGTTGGGGGCAATCAGGCTGGCAGGGGGGCAGTTAGGGGTGATCAGGCAGGCAGGCAGGTGAGTGGTTAGGAGCCAGCGGTCCAGGATTGTGAGAGGGATGTCCGACTGCCGGTTTAGGTCCGATCCTGAGGATCGGACATCCCCCGAGGGGTCCTGGATTGGAGAGGGTGCAGGCTGGGCTGAGGGGACCCTCCCCTCCCCCGCCCCCGTGCACTAATTTTGTGCATCGGGCCTCTAGTCAATTATAAAATCTTGTGTTTCAGAGGCCCCTTAGTCTAGTCCCCACCTCTGTGCTTGGAGCGCCCACACACCGGTGGGACAGAATTGTTTGATTTTCTTCTACAACTTCATCACTCCCTGTGGCAGCTCCTTGGACTTCTGGGCTTCTCTGTTTGGTTTATCTGACGTTGAACCTAATGATGTATTTTCTCTGTGTGGTCTGAGAGTGCTGCCCTTGGGGGTCATAGGACAGAATAGTCTGCCCCAGGCTAATCAGGCCAGCTCCCAACCCTGACATGTGCTGAGCCTGCTGTCAGGCCCTCTCCTTTGTTCCTGGGCATTTGTCCACATCCTTCAGAAAATGCAGCCCAGCCTGTGTGGCTCAGTGGTTGAGTTTCGACCTATGAACCAGGAAGTCACAGTTCAATTCCTGGTCTGGGAACAGTTACTGCATGTACCTGTTTGCAGGGTTGATCCCCGGAGTGGGGCATGCAAGGGGCAGCTGATCAGTGATTCTCATCATTGATGTTTCTATCTCTCTCTCCATCTCCCTTCCTCTCTGAAATCAATAAAAATATATTTTTAAAAAAGAAAAGGAAATGCAGAGCCCAGTGGCCAGGCATGATGTAGCCTGTCCTTATAGCTCTGCTTGTCCCCCCCACCCCCCCCGGCAGACCTCTGCCTGTGGCAGCTTCTTTGGCAGTGCCCTTCAGACTGGTCCTGTGAAGTGGCCAGGCAGGATCTCCCTCGTCACCCCAGGGTCTTGGGCAGTTTGCAGTAACTCTAACCATTGCCACTGTTACAGAAACCCCTCCCCCTATTGAAGGCACTGCTAGTCCCAGGTCCCTTCCCTGGTTCTGTTTGTAAAACATGGGGCCTCCTTTGCTTCCCTGCTGCAGTTGCCTTTTGGAGTTACCCCAATTTCATATCCTTGACATGCCTCCCTGTACCATATGCTCCAGTTTGCCTGAGACAGTTGTGCTTATACCCATTGCCCTGGCATAACTATTAGTAGTATCCACTTTCACTTTCAAAAGATTCATGATTTGGATGATTGAACTTGTCTCTGTCTGTAAGTTGGATGCATCTGTCTTTGAAACCAGTGCCCCACCTCTCAGCCTAATCCGAGAAGAGTAGTTGGAAGTACTGATGGGCTGCCCTTAATACTTTGGCCTGGCTAGCTGGCCCTGTGTGGACTAGAGGTCTCTGACTGGGGTGTGTGGGAAGGTGTCTAAGGGTACCTCCAGCCTCACTTTGGTCATACTGCCACATCAGTTGGATTCCCTGGAGTTGGGTGCCATGTCAAGGGGGTGGCACACAGCAGCCCTTATAGGATGCACCCAGAGCTCAGAGGTATTGTATCCACAATCTAGAAAACCAGAGTTCCTCCCGGCCAATGCTAGCTAGTACCCTTTCTTCTAGATGGGAAGCTTTAGGTGGCTTTGCCCCTGAGGGCAGGGGTTCCCCTCTGGCCCTGGCACCTGGGAATCAAATTGATGTGGGAGTATGACCAAAATGAGGCCTGAGGTGCTTTTGGACACCCACCCACCCGTCCAAGACCTCTGAGTTCACCCCGGAGTGGTTGGCCGTGGCCGGAGTATTAAGGGCAGCCTGACAGCACTTCCAACTGCTCTTCTCGGATTAGGCTGAGAGGTGGGGCACTGGTTTCAACGAGGGCGACCAGCTGTCCTCGTTTGCCTGGTACTGAGGGGTTACCTGGGATGTAGGACTTTCAGTTTTAAAATCAGGAAAGTCCCAGGAAGACTGAGGTGAGTTAGTCACCCTACTCTTAACTCTGGCTGCATTCGAGCCTCACACAAGGAGCCTCTCATTTGAAGATTCTAGTTGAATTAATCCAGGTAGGGCCTCACGTAGACGTATATTTTTTGACTCCCAAGTTGATTCTAACAAACTACCAGAGTTGAGAACCACTAGGTTATAGGCAACATGACTAAATGACCATTGAATGTGGTTATTTTTGAGCAGAAGTGGGCACAAACATCTCTCGAAAGGGTGGTGACCAAGTGTGGCGGTCCTCTCCTATCAAAAGGGATGTCAAATGGCAGTCACTCTTAATGCTATTATCTTTCCCCACCCATGGCCTTCTTCCTCACCAGTGAGGACCACACTGTCTTTCCCATTATGCTCTGGTACCCCCTTAGTAAGTCATGGAATTGCCTCATTTTGATGGGAGGGTTCATGATTTGCTTAGTCTCAGATGAAGCTGGCATGAGCCGTGGGCCAGGGCTCCAGTATTCTGGCCTGGAACACTTACCCCTATGAGTAGTGATCCGGGAGCTAGCTGAAGGGACAGTGTCCACTTTAGCTTTGCCCATCCTTCTTCCTCCCTCCCTTCCTTGATCAGTCATCTTTTGAGGTTGGTAATATGATTTGGCTTAGCTCTGGGCAGGTTCTTGGCTACAGTCTCATAAACTGTTGGAGGTGACAGATGCATAAGGCAACATTCACAGTCAGGCTAGGAAGTGCAGGTTTGAAATCATACCCCCAAGAGCACCGCCTCCATGCAGTTCAGCCTGCCAGTGCCATGCGGCCATGTGTATGTGCATCACAGCTCAGGCATGCTGGGAACGAGACCGGTGCTTCTGGACTATCCCCTCTGCAGGCCTCCAGGGTCATGTGGTACGTCAGCACCAGGGGGATGGCCCCCCGCGTCGACTTTGAGGGTGCCCTCTTCTCTGGCTATGCGCCCGATGGGGGCCTCTTCATGCCTGAGAAGCTCCCACAGCTGAACAGGGAGACCCTACGTCAGTGGAGTGCGCTCTCCTACCCAAGCCTGGTCGTGGAGCTGTGTGCCCTTTTCATTGGCCCAGAGCTCATCCCAAGAGATGACTTAAATGGTGAGCACCCTCATCCCACTTCTACTCTCCTACCTCTGCCAGCCCAGCCCCCCACCGAGTTGAAAATCTATCACTTCATCCCTAGATCTTTAGTCACATTTCCCAAATTGTCGTGTTTCTTTCAGACTTTGGAATTCCAGAATTGGAAATATCCAGCTCCTCCCACCCTCCAAAATGATCTGCAGAGAAATTTTTTTCTTTAGTTTATTTTTAAAACACTTTTTTAAGACTCGCAGTTTGAATGTTGAGATTTTCCTTCCTGCACATAAGGCACACAGCTTGCGGTTTTATTTCCAGAAGGGACTCAGTGTGTCTTGGACCAGCTGGTCTCAAACTGTAAAGTGCTGTGGATTCCCCTCAGGGGCTCATTGAAATGCACACTCTGGTTCAGGAGGTCTGGGTGAGCCTTCCTATCCAGTGTCCAGATAATGCCAGTGCTGCTGTTCCGTGGACCAGGTATACGATATCCATACTTCATGTCGAGAGTTTAGGAGAAGAGGGCCGCTCAGAAGGTGGTTCGACAACCAGCGCCGATAACATTGCCTGGGCGCTTATTAGAATTCTCAGATTCCCTCAGACCTGCCGAACCAGAGTCTGTATTTTAAGATCCCAGGTGATCGGTTTGCCAATGAAACTCAGACGTGTTCAGATGGCCTTGCCTCACGTAGGCTTGTATGAACAGCCTCCCAAGGTTCTGGCTTCCCAGTGTGATTTAATAATGCAGCAAACAGTGTGCTGTCTTTAGGAAGAAAAATGGGAAGAGACGAGACATTGATTTGTTTGTCACATAACTTTAATTGAATGTTCTATTGGAATACATTCACAAGAAATCCAAATGATGAAGATGTTTATAAAATAGAAAATGAAAGTCTTGCACTACCATCTCTGCTCTCTGGGGGGATCCTATGGGGGCTCGTCAGCAGTGTGGTGCCTGTCTTTCCAGACTTTCTCTAGAATTACACAATTATATTCATGGGTGGTATCATTTAGGATAAAAATTTCTGCTCTTTTTATCCTTTAGCAGAGATAAAAACTTCAAATTCAAAAGTGTAAAGAGACTGAGAGAGAACTGGAGGGAAAACATAACAATGCCCTCTGCCTGCTGTACCTGCAGATCTGATCCACCGGGCCTTCCGCAGGTTCCGCCACAGAGAAGTGGTCCGTCTTTCCAGGCTGCGGGACGGGCTGAATGTGCTGGAGCTGTGGCACGGAGCCACATATGCGTTTAAGGACCTGTCCCTGAGCTGCACGGCCCAGTTCCTGCAGTACTTCCTGCAGAAGAGGGGGAAGCACGTCACTGTGGTTGTAGGTGCGCGTCCGCGTGAGCCCTGCAGCCCGAGTGCCCCAGCTTGCCGGTGTCCACCCACCGTGTGTCCTCCTCAGATGCCTCTCAGGGCGTGTGTCGTGGGTCTTCTAGAGCAGGGTTCTCAACCTTCCCTCATGCCACAGTTCCCTTTCACGGTCTGGTGGAGGCTATGGAACCTTCTCAGAAGGGTATTTTTAAAGATACAGACTGCATAAGATTATGTGGTTTAAGTGCACAGAGGCCTTGAATTCTCTCCGTGGGTCTCTTGGTGGTTCATGGTTTGCTACCCTTCGAGTATTGATGGTAGATATTGCCTCATTTGGCAACAGTGCTTTAGGGGCATTTCCCTCTCTTTTGTCTCCCTTGTTCTAAAGGGGATATTCTTTCCCTTCCCATCCAGGAACCTCTGGAGACACAGGGAGTGCTGCCATTGAGAGTGTTCGAGGGGCAAAGAACGTGAGCATTATTGTTCTCCTGCCCCAGGGTCACTGCACGAAGATCCAGGAGTTGCAGATGACCACGGTGCTGGCAGAGAACGTCCGTGTGTTTGGAGGGGAGTGCTGGGACGGGCTCCAGGGCAGTGGCCTGTTTGGGGAGATGGGCTGGAACAAAGCTGGTTGTTGACTAGCTGACCATCCTTCCTCTTCCTCCCTCCCTCCCTTTCTTGATCAGTCATCTTTTGAGGTTGGTAATATGACTTGGCTTAGCTCTGGGCAGGTTCTTGGCTGCAGCCTCATAAACTGTTGGAGGTGACAGATGCATAAGGCAGCATTCACAGTCAGGCTAGGAAGTGCAGGTTTGAAATCATACCCCCAAGAGCACCGCCTCCATGCAGTTCAGCCTGCCAGTGCCAAGTGGCCATGTGTATGTGCAGCAACCAGAGCCGTACCCTTAAGCAGGTGGCCGAGGGTTTTCTTTTCCCCAGGACACTGAAGTTTAGAGGACAAAAATGTGTTAAATAATTATTTTAAAAGTGTCATTACTAGTTGATGGCTTATGCCCTCCTTATAGTGTGGAAATAACTAAGCTATGCACTTGGTTATCGGGTCTGAGGATTTAAAGTAGGCAGCCACTCAGCTGCACGCATCACTGGTGATGTCCTGAAGCCGCATCACAAACTGTAGCATTTTGAAAAAGACACAAATCTAATATCAGGCCTCTACTATCAGGCGTTCTAGTTTCAATAGGATTCATCTTTGTGGAGTAAGAGGGGGTGAGCTTTTATTTTCATCTCTCATACCCCACAAGATTCCAGGTACCTATGGTGGGGGTCTTGGGGAGGTTTTGTGTGTTGCGGCCTTGGGCCAGCTGTCTAGGCATCCTGGCTTGGTTTGGTCACTTACCTGGCAGAGCAGCAAATGTGACATTCCTTCTCCAGCTGGCCTGGCCTCCTGGCGTAATCCCACAAAGGATGTTTTTATATAACACCGAGTTTGTAAAAAGCAAAAGCACAGTGAAAACAAACCTTACCCATAGGAGTAGCGTGACTATCCTCTGTCTGTTCAAGAGCAAGGAAAAATCCCCTGTGCGCTCTCTTTAACAAGTGCATCCATAGTCAAGCGAGAAATTCATGGTTCCGCCAGTGCAGATACTGGCAAAATCTTACACATTAGTCTTGGTGATTGCCCATATTTAGCTGCATTTTCCTGCAGTCATTGCAAGATTTTAGTGCACAAGATTCTGGTTCTCGAGGGTCCCTGTTGTACCCCAAGTACCAAAATTGCTAGTTGTAGAACTAGGACCATCTTTTCCTAGAATCAAAGCAAAGAGGAGAAGAGCTTTTAGTAACTCTGTCCTGCCACCTGCTCCCCCTCACTTTGTACAGATGCTGGAAGGCTTTGCCCTGAGGATGTGCATGGAAGCTTCATTCCTGGTGTGAGTTAGAGAAGGTGCTCATTGCAGAAGAGAGGCAGAAAGTGTTACTGCTGGAGCCAAAGGGGCTTTCTGTTATATACATGTTCTGAGCTTTCATAATATAAAGCATCAGACTTTAAATTAGTTTTCATTTCTAGACACCACTGTTCAAGTTCTTCCTTGCCTTTCTAGAATCTGCTGATTTGGTTTTCAGGAAAATGTGTGTAGTTCGGGAGCAGTAAATACTCATTTTCTCATAATAGGGGTGGGTCACCTGGATTGTTATGTGTTGGACACTTTTGTAAGTCATTAGTTTCCAAATACATTATGTATGTGGTCCTTCTTAAGCACAGAGTAATCAGCCTGAGCTAGTTATATATTATTTGGGATGGTTTTGCCTGGAAGAAACAGGGAATCTAATTCAGACCAGCTTGAGCAAGGTTTCCCAGCTGACGTAACTGGAAGTCCAGAGTGGGGCTGGTTTCCTGATTGGTTGATTCATTGACTCAGCAGTACCCTCAGGGACCCAGGTTCTTTGCATTCTCTGTTCTGCTTTCCCCAATCTTAAGGCCCATTCTTTTATTTATTTATTTTTTAAAAAATATATATTTTATAAAATATATATTTTATTGATTTTTTTTACAGAGAGGAAGGGAGAGAGATAGTTAGAAACATCGATGAGAGAGAAACATCGATCAGCTGCCTCCTGCACACCCCCTACTGGGGATGTGCCTGCAACCTTTCAGTCCGCAGGCCGACGCTCTATCCACTGAGCCAAACCGGTTTCGGCAAGGCCCATTCTTGTGGCCTTTGATGACTACTTGAGGTAAGCAAGTCTCTCTCTTCCGGTGACTTGCTCTTAAAAGCAGTGGATCTTTTCCTGAAATCTTGCACCTGGTTAAGTCTTGCACCTGGTTAAATCTTGCACCTGCTGTGGCGCAATGATGAAGGGAGGATGGATAATAACCTCAGTGCGAGCCATGGCACTTCTCCCAATGTCCTTCAAGTTAGGATCCAATGGAGAAATAGACCCAGGTTTCAGATACGAGATCAATATTGGCCTGACTGGGTTGGAGAAAGCAACTTGGACTAGTAGCCAATTCATTCATAAATTCACCCAATAATTCATCCATAAATTAACCTCTGTACATACCCATCGCAGGGAGGAGTCCTGCCCATGCCGGCTTACCTACGAAGTAGGAGCAGAGAGGAGAACACCCACCTGTGATTAGATGAGGGAGGAAGGGCAGGCACATGGGCCAGTGACTCTTGTCCTTTGAACTCCTGATAGAGGATCAGCCTGTCACTATCTCACTACTTGATAAGCCATTCCTTCTTCCCCTAGGGGAGGTGGGCACAGAATACCAATGGGAATTCTTTTTCCAATATCCCTGAGGTTGGTATTTTATATCTCAGTTTATATAATGGTAGGAACATCAGGAATATGACCACAAGAACACGAGACATGGTTTCTAGACTTGAGGAGCTTAATTTTGAGTGTAGAAAGCCAGACCAAAGCACATTAGAGTAGATAAACGAAGGCCGAGCCAAAGTCCCAGCTGGCAGGCTCAGCCTGGGAGGGCCTGTGGCAGTGCTGACTGCCTGGGGTGCTCTGTGCCTTTGACAGCTACTCTCTCCTCTCCCAACAGTGGAGGGAAACAGCGATGAGCTTGATGAACCCATCAAGGCCGTGTTTGCTGATGTGGCTTTTGTCAAGAAGCACAATCTGATGAGTCTGAATTCAATCAACTGGTCCCGGGTCCTCGTGCAAATGGCTCACCACTTCTTTGCCTACTTCCAGTGTATGCCATCCTTAGATTTGCACCCGCTCCCTGCTGTGGAAGTGGTTGTGCCAACAGGGGCTGCTGGTAACCTTGCAGGTAAGGAGACCCTGGGCGAAAATGGGCTTTGCAGAAATCATCTGTGGCCCCACCCCTTTCAAATGCCCTTTGCCTGCAGCCCTGAGAAAGATTGAGTCCTGGCTCTGAAGGGGATGGGAAACTGCAGAAGGAGCTTCCAAAACACTTCCCCCAACACCCTGGGGGACATCAGCACTTATTGCAGAGGAAGAGTGATAGGTTGATCCTGACATCCTCTGGCCACCTGACCTGATGCCCAAACTTGGCAGAGTGTGGGCAGATGAGGTCAAGGTTCAGCCACCATATTGGCTCGTGGTGCCCTCTTCCAGAAATGCGGGCTTTCCTCCTGGCCTTGGTGTTGCCTGCTGTAGGGCAAGCAGCTCCACTGGCACTGGGCTGCCCCTGTGGAATTGCTGCTGGGGGCAAGGGGGAGTTCTAGACTTGGGTTCTGGCTGATCAGTCCTTTGCTAGTTGAACAGCCATGGGTGGCCCTTCAGACCTGGCTTCTCAGGTGTGAAAGGGACAACGGGTCACTCATGTCTCAGGACGGCTGTGAGGATGGTGAGATTGGTTTGTGTGCACATGACCTTTGTACAGCTGCATGATATTAAAATCATTTTCAATAATAATTAACATTAAGCACTGGCTGTAGCAGGCATTGCTATAAGTGCCTTTTGCTTATTAACTCATTTGATATTCATGTGTGCCCATGAGAAGGTTGATACTGTTACTTCCGTTTTGGGTTGTCACCAGGCACAGAGAAGTTAGTTGGCTTGCCCCTGCTTCTACATGGGTCCATGGCAGAGCCAGTGGGCCTCTGGGCCACCCAGTGGCGCCACATAGAAGCCATGCAGGCAGTGTGCTTTCTCCCAGCTGGCCTCAAAGACCAGCTCCTGTGCAAACCCACAGGGGGCCTAACCAGCCCCTGCGGTCCCTGTGACTGCGGCCTGGCTTACCCAGAAGAGGCTGCCCAGGTGCAGGGTGGGCTCCTCGCAGGCGCCTGGAACCTGAGTGTGGGGGCTTCCCCAGTGCACAAGCCCTAGCATCCTGGGAGAGGGTAGCAGGCAGAGTGAGAGCAAGCTTGGCGGACACCCCACATTCTCACTGCACCTCCATCCCCATCACCCCCGCCCCCAGGTAGCTGGCGAGAGGTCACAGCCCCTCGCCCAGGTGTCGCAGGAGGTTGGTCGCCGCCACCCACTCCCAGCCCAGAGACCACACACCCCCCACATCAGGCCATCAGGGCCTGCTGCCCACTGGTCACCATCTGTGGAGCCATCGGTGGGGCGATTGGCTCTCACTCGCATCCGCCTTGGCCTAGTGCTGCCCACTCAACTGCTCCACCATCCTGCTGCGGTCCTGCTCTTCTCAGGGCCCATCAGGGCCAGCAGCACCTCCACTGCCACCCACTGCCAATGCCGCATAACCAACGCCCACCATGTTCTGCGCCACCCCCTGGTGGTCAGCGCATGTCATAGCGAGCAGTGGAATTCGCAGTCAAACACCCAATCGGGGCAATTTGCATATTAGGCTTTTATTATATAGGACTAGAGGCCGGGTGCACAAAAATTTGTACACTCGGGGGAAGGGGGGGTCCCTCAGACCGGCCTGTGCCCTCTCGCAGTCTGGGACCCCTCAGGAGATAACGACCTGCTGGCTTAGGCCTGCTCCCGGGTGGCAGAGGGCAGGCCCAATCCCTAGGTGCAGCCCCTGGTCGGGCTCAGAGCAGGGCTGATTGGGGAGTTGGGGCGCCTTCCCCTGTCATGCACAGAGCAGGGCAGATTGGGAGGTTGCGATGCCACCCTCAGTCATGCTCAGGATAGGGCCAATTGGGGGGTTGGGGCACCGCCCCGTCACACTCAAGGCAGGGTCGATGGGGAGGTTGTGGCGCCACCCCGTCACGCACAGAGCAGGGCCCATCAGGGGGTTTGGGGCTCCATACCCTGTCATGCACAGAGCAGGGCCGATCAGGGGGTTGGGGAGCTCCCCCCTTTCACTCACAGAGTATGGCCAATAGGGGAGTTGGGGCACCGCCCCCGTCACACTCAGGGCAGGGCGGATCAGGGGGTTGGGGCGCCGCCCTCTGTCACCCACAGAGCAGGGCCGATCAGGGGGTTGGGGCGCCGCCACTGTCACACTCAGGACAGGGCAGATGGGGAGGTTATGACTCTACCCCATCACACACAGAGCAGGGCCCATGGGGGGGGGGGGGTTGGGGCGCCGCCCTCTATCACCCACAGAACAGGGCCGATCAGGGGGTTGGGGGGCCGATCAGGGGGTTGGGGCGCCGCCACTGTCACACTCAGGGCAGGGCCAATGGGGAGGTTATGGCTCTACCCCATCACACACAGAGCAGGGCCCGTGGGGGGGGGGGGCGTTGGGGCGCCACCCTCTATCACCCACAGAGCAGGGCCCACTCTCATACTCAGGGCAGGGCCAATGGGGAGGTTATGGCTCTACCCTGTCACACACAGAGCAGGGCCCGTGGGAGGCGAGGGGGTTTGGGCGCTGCCCCCTGTCACACTGATCCTGGTGCCGGGAGGCCTCTCGGCTCCGCTGATCCCAGTGCTGGGAGGCATATTACCCTTTTACTATATAGAATAGAGGCCTGGTGCATGGGTGGGGTTGGCTGGTTTGCCCTGAAGGGTGTCCTGGATCAGCGTGGGGGTCCTCACTGGGGTGCCTGGCCAGCCTGGGTGAGGGGATGATGGCTGTTTGCAGCTGGTCACACACCCTTCAGGGTGGGGGTCCCCACTGGGGTGCCTGGCCAGCCTGGGTGAGGGGATGATGGCTGTTTGCAGCTGGTCACACACCCTTCAGGGTGGGGGTCCCCACTGGGGTGCCTGGCCAGTCTGGCTGAGGGGCTGAGGGCTGTTTTCAGGCTGGGACTGAAGCTCCCAACCGCTCCTTTTTTTCTTTTTTTCTTTTTTTATTCTGGGCCAGCTTTAGCTCTGAGGCCTCGGCTGCTGAAAACAAGTTTCTGGCCTTTGTTTACCGTCTGTATTTGATACAATGTTGTGGTCCGGCTGGCTGAAGCTCCGCTGAGTAAAGCAGGTTTCTGGGTTTTTTTTAGCTTCTTTATTCGCAACATAGTTGCTGAGAGTTGCAGCTGAGAGGCCGGCAAGTCAGGCGGGGAACATGGGAGTTCTCCATCACTGAAGCAAGCAAGCCTCCCTGTTCGCATCAGCTGCCTGGCTGCCGGCCGCCATCTTGGCTGCCAGTTAATTTGCATATCTTGGCCCTACTCTGTGAGTGACAGGGGGATTAGCCAATGGGAAGGGTAGCGGAGTGACACTAATTACCATGTTTCTCTTTTATTAGTGTAGGTAATACCACGTTGTATGGATAGACCACAATTTATTTATCCATTTATCAATTAATAGACATTTGGATTGTTTCATTTTTTTTAGCTATTATGAATAATGCTGCTATGAACATTTGTGTAAAAGTTTTTGTATAAACTTGTTTTTATTTTTGAGTGTATATATGTAGGAGTGAATTTCTGGGTCATATGGTAACTCTATGCTTAATTTTTTGAGGAACTGCCAGACTGTTTTCCAAAGTGGCTGCACCATTTTACATTCTCACTAGCAGTATATGAGGGTTGCAGTTAATTCACATACTGAGTAAGACTTGGAATTATCTGTTTTGTTCTATTCTAGCCATCCTAGTGGGTATGAAGTGGTATGTCATTGTAGTGTTGTTTTGCACTTTCCTGGTGACCAATGATATTGAGTGACTTTACATGTGTTCATTTGCCATTTGTATATCTTTGGAGAAATGTCTATTCAAGTCCTTTGCCCATTTTTAAATTGGGTTATTTGTGTTTTTATTATTGGGTTTTTTATATATTCTAGACATAAATCTCTTATTAGCGGTATGATTTGCAAATAGTTTTCCCATTCAGGGTTGCCTTTTCATTTTCTTAATAGTGTCCTCTGAAGCATTAAAGCTCCAAAAAACACCAGAAGTTTCATAATTTTGATAAAGCACAATTTATCATTTTTTTGTGTGTGTGAATGTGCTCCTAAAATCATGCCTAAGAAGCCATTGTTGTTCTCCTCTCTTGTCTTAAGCTGGGTGCATTGCTCAGAAGATGGGCCTGCCCATCCACCTGGTCGCAGCGGTGAACTGCAATGATATCATCCATAGGACTGTCCAGCGAGGAGACTTCTCTCTGTCTGAGACTGTCAAGCCAACCTTAGCATCAGCTATGGACATCCAGGTGGGACCTGTAGGGAGGCATGCAGTCAGGTGTTGGGTGGGTGGGATGGACAGGGCTGAGATCAGAGTAACCCCTGCCCCCGGTTCGTCCTTTCTGTGCAGGTGCCCTACAACATGGAGAGGATTTTCTGGCTGCTATCTGGCTCTGACAGCCAGATGACAAGAGGCCTCATGGAGCAGTTTGAAAGGACCCAAAGTGTGAGTCTGCCTGAGGAACTGCAAAGCAAGGTCAGTCACCACCCACACACCACCGAGAAAGGAAAGAGTGCAGCCCCAAAACACCACTAAAACTTGGGGTTTGAAAATCTGTTTAAGGGATGGAGACATCTGTTTCTTGAGCATCTGCTCTGAGCCTGGCACTTTTCAGTCACTTTATATGGATGTGTTTATTGAATGTGGAGAGGCAGTAGAGAGTGCTGGCTTGGAGTCAGATAGGGCCCAGTTATTCAAACTCAGTGCTTTGATTTTCTTATCTGTACATTGGGGATAATAAGAATGCCTATGCTATAGCCTTGAAAATTTAAGACAAATAATACTTATGAAGTATTTTTAATACTTCCAGGCAATATAGGGCTTGATATATTAACTGTTATTATTTTAATTTTTATCATTGTTGATTTCCAGTAGTCACAACTGGAAGTCACTTTGTCCATCCAGTATGAGCAGAGACCACTGTCCTGTTAGCTTTATTTTAAAAGGAGGTGCAATTTTATCTCCTCAGAGTGATAGGAATCTAGTTGGGAGTGATTGCTTTCATTTTAATGCCACCTTGGTGATGGTCACTTATCTGTATTAATAATAGCCAAGGGCCATCACGACCTAAATGACCAGATGGACGACCAGTCACCAGGAAGTGCATGAAGCACCTCTCGGTCCCTCCCCCATGGCCCCCAGGCTCCTATCACAGCAAGGATGGCGGCAGGCCAGTGGGCAGGGTGGTGGTGGGGGGGGGACTGAAGGGGGCGGGACAAGGCAGGCACTGCAACTGCAGATCAGGCCCAGAGAGAGGCCCAGAGAGAGGGGTGGGGCCTGCTCTGCAGCCATCGGGGCTGCTGGTGAGTCCCAGAGAGAGAGAGAGAGAGGCAGGGCCTGATCAGCAGCTGCTGCAGCTGCTGGTGAGTCCCAGAGAGAGAGAGAGGCAGGGCCTTATCCGCAGCTGCTGCAGAGGCTGCGGATCAGGCCCAGAGATAGGCCTGGAGAGAAAGGCAGGGCCTGATCAGCAGCCACTGAGGAGGCTGCAGATCAGGCCTGGGGATAGGCCCCGAGAGAGACAGAGCTGTCAGTGGGGCCATTCTGGATTTCCAAGAAGAGCCAATTGCTGCCTAGGAGGCAGAACTTTTGACACTGACTGGCATAGAAACTGACTGATCAGAACCATATCTGGGTGAACTGCAAGGAGTCAATGGGTGCCTAGGAGGCGGAGCTTTTGATGCTGACTGGCATAGAAACCGACTAATCAGAACCTAATCTGAGTGAACTGAGAAGGCAGAACCTAAAGTGGGGGCTGAGGAGGGCTTTTAAGGACAACAGCTGTTTGGTGTAAGGTGTAAGAAAGCAGTTCAATTTTTTAATAACCAGTTCGGCAGTATAGTGCATATGGCTGACTATCAGTCCAAATATAGGGATTATGTATTTTTGTCTGCCAAGAGTATCTCCTACTGCTGAAAAAGTCCCCCCCCCACCCCCCCACCCCCCGCCACATTTAAGTAATCCTATCCTATATAATCTATCTATACTACTAAAAGGGTAATATGCTAATTATACCGGGTTGACCAGCCATCTTCCAGACGTCCAACTTCCTTCCAGATAAAGCCATGGTGGTGGGGGCCAAGGCAGAGGCAGTTAGGGCCGATCAGGCCAGCAGTTGGGGGTGAGATCAGGCTTGCAGGGGAGGGTTGTTGGGGGCGACCAGGCCGGCAGGGGAGGGCAGTTGGGGGTGATCAGGCAGGCAGGCAGAGGAAGTTAGAGGCAATCAGGCAGGCAGGCAGAGTGATTAGGGGCTATCAGGCAGGCAGGCTGGTGAGCAGTTAGGAGCTAGCGGTCCCAGATTACAAAAGGGATGTCCGACTGCTGGTTTAGGCCTAATCCCTGTGGCAGTCGGACATCCCCAAGGGGTTCCTGATTGGAGAGGGTGCAGGCTGGGCTGAGGGAACCCCCCGTGTATGAATTTCGTGCACTGGGCCTCTAGTTTAATATAAAAAAATAGGATATTATATGTTGAAGCTGCATTTAGTTTTCTCTACCACATTCCCACCAAGTGGTCATCTGGACTCTGTCCCCAGGGATCAGGGCCTCACCACCTCCCACCATTTCAAGCATTGCACAGTTCTTCATGTTGAGTGGAAGCTGCTCCTAGCTTGCACACCAGCAGCAGTCCGATTCCCATATTTGAGAAAGATCTTTATTCACCCACTAAGCCTTCCTGGTTCCTTTCACTGTGTCTTATGTGACATAGTTTTGAGTGGTCACTGTCCATCTTAAAGGATTGGTCCCAGAACTAGACACAGCTCTCTGGGCTTAGCCACCCATGCAGAGCAGAGTGGAATTTCTGTCTTCAGAATCTATGCTGCTTTTGATGTAACCTGTCTTAACCTGGGCTGCTATATAGAAGTGCCATGGACTGTGTGGCTTATAAACAAAGCCAATTCATTTCTGACAGTTATGGGGAGAGGCTGAAAGTCTGGGTCAGCGTAGATGGGTTCTGATGAGCCTTCTGCCAGGTTGCACGTGGTGCCTTGTACTCTCACACAGGAGAAAAGAGGCTTAGCCAGATCTCTGCCCTCTTTTTATCAAGTCACTAATCCCATTCATGGGGACTCTACCCTTGTGACCTAAATACCTCCCAAAAGCCCACCCCCTAATGCCATCACATTTTTAGCATATGAAATTGGGGTGACACACATTCAGACCGTAACACAAGCACAGATCAGCTTGTTAGGTTAATGGTTTGTTTTGACCTCCACTTTCCTTCTCCTTGTGTGAATGAGGTGCTGCAGGAGCACAGACACAGTATCCACCTGTTCTTTGTTCTCTCCCTGTCTATGCATTAGAAGACACTTCATCGCTAGAATAGCATTCATTAATTCATTCCATATATATTTTGAGCCAGAGACTGTGCGTGGTGCTAGAGATAACAATACAAATAGAATGCACTCATTGTCTTCCATGAGCCATAATGGAAGAGGCTTATAACACCCTCTGACTTCTGTTGCCATCGAGTGTATGCAGGGTGTTTGGCACATGGTAGGCATGCAATAGCTTTTCAGAGTATGATCAAATAAGCCATCTGCACCAGGGCACACCGAGAAGGGAGGTGTTCTCTGCCTGGGGTAGCGGGGAGGTTTCCCAGAGGAGCTGCTGCTGAGCCAGGTGGAAACAGACATGAAGGGGTCTCATGCCCACAGGACCAGGGTGCACCAACCACACAACACTGGGAGTGTTTGAATGCCCTTAACCTTCTGTATTCTTGAGGTTGTTGAACCAGACGCTATATTTGCCAATTCATGAGCTAAATCCTAAGTTTATTGACCTGGAAGTCAAATGCATCCTTTCCTTAAGTTGAGTGAGTCAGCTTACAACTGGGAAATGTGGGAAAACAGATTTTCCTCTGAGCTAAATCTAAGCCGTTCCATCTGAACTGAGTCCCTTGTTATTTACTGTGTTTTTTGTCACCTTTCTCCCTGCTTCCCCCAACCATGATTACCACCACCCTGGCCCTGGGACCATCAGCTTTCAGCGGCAGTGACATCTGAGTCAGTGTCAGATGAGGCCATCATGCAGACCATGGCCCGCTGCTGGCAAGAGAACCAGTCCTTGCTGTGCCCTCACACGGCTGTGGCCGTGAGCTACCATTACCAGCAGATGCTCAGGCAGACCCCCAGGTATGGCCGTGGGCACCTGGGTCACTGGGCAGGGGTGGGGGGCGACTTTGGCTTTCAGGGACCCTCTTCTTCCCCAAGCAGGGAACACAGGATGTGAACAAATGGCTTGAATGAGCATAATGGGTGCTCTGTGGAACTGTACCTCAAGAACCGTGGTCTCAGAAGAGGGTACATGATAGGTGTCCCAGACAGCCCACATGGGAGGTGGGAGGTGAGCTGGGCCTTCCACAGGAAGAAGCAATTTGCTCAGCAGTCATTGTAGAGACAAGTTTAAGGTCTGCCTCTCTCTTTTTCCTCCATGCCCCACACTACCCCTAACCATCCCTGTTCCTTCTCCTCCCCCTCCCCTTTCTGTACCTGTCCCTCCATCTGTTGTCTCCCACATACTTGTTTCCACCTGCCCCACCCCCACAGCCCTCCCCGGTGTTGTCTGGCCCCTGCCTCTGCAGCCAAGTTTCCAGAAGCTGTCGTGGCTGCTGGATTGAGTCCAGAAACTCCCATGGAGATCCTAGCCCTGGAGGGAAAGGAGACGCGTTGCACCCCAATGCGGAAGAGTGACGACTGGACAGTGATGCTCCGGGACACAATTGAGAACATGGGCCGGCAGTGGAGGGCCACGTCCTGAGTGCTCCCAAATATCCCAGCTGCAGCTGGCTTCCTTTAAGCTTCAGACCCCAGGGTGGGGGGCGGGGTGCCCTCGGAGCTACCTTGAGCACCTTCTCTCTGTTAAGAGTTGTTGTGGGAGGTTCTCAGGAGGCTGCTCAGTGGGGTCTGGAGCCAGCTGGCTTTGCTCATTCCCACAGCTGCTCTGTGCTCTCGCCATGGTGGTGTGGTCTCATGCCCACAGGACCAGGGTGCACCAACCACACAACACTGGGAGTGTTGGCCACCAACCACACCACATTATAGGGAGCTGGCCACCTTCTGCTGCGGTCTGCACTCGGCATCCTTCCCCAGGCCATGGCCCTTTCTGTGGGTGGACCTGGGAGCCTGGCAGTGCTTCTCCGGGAGCCCCACCCGGAGGCTGCTGCAGCTCTGCCTTCCTGGGCTCCTGGAGGTGCACCCCCACCGCTGGACAGTGCAGGGCCTGCAAATGAAGATCCTGGGCACAGAGCTGACCTTGGCCCCAGGGTCTGGGACCTTAGACCCTAAGTCTGTGCAGGCAGGGCTGCACACTCCAGAAGCACAGGCCTGGGGCTCCGCTGTCTGCACCTGTTTATCCAGAGGCATCGGCTGGCCTTCCCACCCTGCTGAAGTGTCAGAATCCTGAGAATACAAGCGCATGCCCAGTGTGATGGTCACTGTGCTGGCCTGCGGCCGAGGACAGTGGCTGCCAGGGGTGGTAGTGATGCGTGGTATGTGCTACATCCTTCAGCTGCTTTCCATTGGCCAGCATGAAGGGGCAGCAGAGCAGTTAGTGGGCAGGTGGCACAGGCGGGGAGCAAGGTTGAGATGTGGGATCACCAGGTGGAAGCCGTGTGGGAAATGCTCCTCACGGTGCAGACTGGGAACCGGTACAAGTACTGGTTCACCTGCTTTATTAACCCAGGGCAGGTGTCAGAGCAGCAAGAAGCAGGGATCCCTCACTGAGCACTAAGTGGAGTCCAGACGCCTGCATTTCCATGGTGCCATGGGCACAGCGCCAGAGAAGTCAGATCCTCCTCTAAGCACATGACTGCTCTCCCCTCTGCATGCCTCTGACGCTGCACTGGCCTCCGGCAGCCCATCCTTGGATGAGGCCACAGACCCTCCTCAGGCTGCTGGAGGCTGCGTCCTGTGTCCTGTCCATCTGTCAGCCCAGCTGGAAATGACTCCTGTACCTGAAAGTGAGGACTTTGCTGACAAATAGTGTTCTTCCACGTGCAGAGTGCTCCCTCTCACAAAGGCGTGCTTGATTCCTCTGCTGTTTTACAATCTAGCCTGCGTTGTCCAGTTCAGTAACCACTAGCCACATGTGGCTGTTGAGTACTTGAAATGGGAATAAGTATAACTAAGGAATTGAATTTTAAATTTTATTTAATGTTTGATTAATTTACATTTAAATTTCAAAACTATTACTTGAATTGGTTATTGGAAAACTTTGCAGTGTGGTTGGGAAATGCTGGTATGTGAATCTGCTTTTCAGCTGTAAATTTTATGAAGTACAAAAAGTACAGATGATATTTCCAATGAAATTAGTTGGAACACTACATTAGAACTGAGATATGCCACATTATCAAATACATATGGAACTTCAAAGACTTTGAATGAAAACTATTGAAAATTTTTCATTAATAATTTTATATTGATCACATGTAGAGGATAATATTTTGATGTTTTGGATTAAATAAAACATTAAGTCAATTTCATCGGGTTTCACTTACAAGGTCATTTGAAGTTATACATGTGGCTCATCTTGTGGCTCACCCTGTATTTATGGCCAGCAGTGATCTGGAGCTTAGCCTTGGCTTTGTGCACACATGAACACATCGCACATAGTTGTGGGTTTAGTTCTGTTACTGGATTCGAATCCTGTGTTGATTGAGTGGGGTTTATGCAAACACAAATACGTGAATGTCAGCACAAGCCTCAGTCATGCCCTGGACTCTGGGGGCCCCCTGGGAGGCAGGTGAGGCAGGCACCGCGTGGAGGGAGATTTGGGGCCATTAGAAGCCACTGTTGCTACCACTCTGAGGGTCGCTGTGAAAGGACCCAGTGGGTATCTGGCCTCCAGAGGCCCTTTCCCCTGCCCTGAGATCTAAATGAGTCGGTCACCCAGGCTAATCTCTGCATGCCATCCCCACATTGAACATGCCACCCTGCATCCCTGTGTGCCCAGGGCTGGAAGGGAGAGGCCAGAGACTACTCTTGTGCTGGGAAATTTGGCGTCGCAGCATGGCATTCAATACAATGATGCTGGATACACATCAGCATGTGTATGGGAGGATGGGGAGCATCCCTGGAGGAATGACTGTGACCCTACAGCACAGCACTTGTTGGTCCCCAAGATACTTGAACATCCACAAGAGCATGCATGATAAACCCATCAGCGCAAGAGGCCTGGAGCTTTGTGTCATGATGCAGTTAGAGGGCATAAAAGTGTCGTTTCTCTCAAAGGAAAAGCAGAGTGCCTGGGGCCCACAGATGTAATGATGTGGCACTGAGAGCACCTACTATATGCCAAGCAATACTTGACAAAATTTACTTTAATCCTGACAGCAACCTGTGGAGTAGGCGTTACTATTGTCTGCATTTTAGAAAGGGGAGACTGAGGAGCTGAGGTAAGGGGACTGGCCAGGGTGGTACCACCAGGGAGCAGAGACTGGACTTGAGCCAGGCATGTGACTTCAAACCCAAAGTGTAGTTTTCATCACACCATGTCATAGGGAGCTGGCCACCTTCTGCTGCGGTCTGCACTCGGCATCCTTCCCCAGGCCACGGCCCTTTCTGTGGGTGGACCTGGGAGCCTGGCAGTGCTTCTCCGGGAGCCCCACCGGGAGGCTGCTGCAGCCCTGCCTTCCGGGTCTCTGTGACCTGCACCCAAGCCACCTGCTCCTTTGCTCCATTTTCTGAGGGCCTCAGGTCAGTGTGAGGGCCACAGGGTTACCAAATGCCCTGTCCTCTTTGTAGTTCAGAAACCTAGTAGCTCTAAGAGGCCACCCCCGACACCTGTGAAAGGGGCCCAAAACAGAGCCATTGGACACAGCACAAATAGAGATGAAACGTGAACTATAGGATATTCTGGCCACAGCGGTCTTGGGGCCAAGTGTGGAAGAAGGACAGGAGATGAAGCCTGAAGAAGTACCCGTCTGTGTAAACATACACCCAGGCGCGCACACATGTCCCACTCAGTAGAAGAAGGAAGAAGCCTCATACAACTGAAGTCAGAACCAGGTTGAAGTTGTCCTCTCATTCACTCACTGCTGGTGCTATTACAGACCAGCATTTCACCTCCATGAGCCTGTTTTCCCGCCTACTAATTACAGTACAATACTTAACCCTGCTGGTTTGTTCTGAGAATTACATAAGGTAATGCATTTCCAAGTGCTGGGTAAATGCTAAAATGCCATACAAATGTTCTGATTATTAGCACAATTATAGTCTGCACCAATCAGTTTAGTACTTTTAAGCCATCTTGTATATTTTACTAATTGCTTCAAGAATTAGTCTTATCTTGCCAGTGAGATTGCCACTTCCCAGAAGACAGTTGTGTGTGGCCTCAGAGTGCCAGCACAGCCTGGCGCAGGGCTGGAGGGGCCATCACGGAGCCCTCGAACCCGGCAGCAGGCTCTGCAAGGGCTGCTGGGGGTGGGGGTCATGGGTTAGTCAGTGGTGGCTCTGCCAGAGGTAACAGGCCTTGTTCATTGCAAGGAAGATGGCGGAACGGTTCCCTTTCTTGAGCACTAATGTGCTGAGCCCTTTAAAGCACTCTCCAGGCATAGATGCCTTCAATCCCCATGAGGACTGTATGAAAAATATGACTAGATCCCCATTTTAGAGATGAGGAAAGGAACTTGGAGACGTTAAGTAACGTGCCCAAGGCCACCCAGGCAGTGGTGATAGAGGAGATATACGAGGCTGGGTGTAGGGTCTCTGAGCTTAATCACGACTAGACTAGGATAGGCGCTTTGGTTCAGATGGCCTCCAAGTCTTCCAATCAGAGTCTGCAGGTGAGGCAGGGAGCTGGCCATGTCTGAGGTAGATGGGGGAGAAGAGGGCCCAACATCAGGAGGTGGACCAGTTGCTCTGTAGGGGCACAGAGCTGGTACCTTTGCGGGGAGTTTTTCTCTGGCTCGGGCTCTCCCTTGGAGCTGGGTTCCTCACTGGGGCTGGCTGGGCACAGGTGTCTGCTGCGCGGAGTGGGTGTTAGAGTATGGAGTGGAGTTAGAGCTGTTCTGTGGCATTCCAGCTGCTGACAAGGAGGCTGAGCCCGGTCGACCCCACTGGGAAGACTCAGATTGCAGCTGGATGAACCAGGAAGATTTGACTGCATCTTCTGTGTCCCTGAATAAACAAAGGGAGAGCAACACAGACAGGGCTGGGCCATTAGCCTCCTGGAAAGAGAAGAGGACCTTTTGCTGTCCTTCCTGCTGCCTTTGCCCAAAAAAGCATCTTCCAAGATCTCAGGCGATCAATTCCACAACCTGGGTGCCTCCTGGGTGCCAGGGCCTGGGCAAATGCTGAGGAGCAGTGTGGTGACTTCCTGCCAAGTGCTGGGCACTACATTGTATACTAAGGAATAGATAAAAAAGTAGGGGAAGATGTGGCTGTAGTTGATGAGAAGGGTAAATGTCTGGGCAACACCCTGGCACTGCTCTAGGACTCTAAGCAACTGGTTCTTGAATGCAAGAGCCCAGTAAGCCCTCCTTTGGCCCCTCGTCCCCGCCCCACTTCAGCACTGACCCACAGAGTCCTTGTGTTCAGTTTAGGGGTCTGCTTTCCCATTCCTTACACATTCCTTAAAGTCTGCTGTCGAATGCCCCCCATCCCAGCATCTAGCCAGGAAACGCAGCCTTCAGTGAGTGTGGCCCCTGAGAATGGTTGACTGGGACGGAGCTGGCAGAGGAGCTGCCGGGAGGAAAGCTAACTGGGCGAGGGGGAAGTGGTCGGGGAAGAAGGCCAGACTGGGTCTCCAAGGGTCCGCTGGGTGCCTGGGTCCCAGGTTCAGCACTGTTTCCCGATGGTCTGGTCATCACAGAGGCCTCTCATAAACCAGTGCCCTGGAGGAGGTGGGACCTCCTGGAACAGAACAGCGTGTGCGTAGGGCCAGGCTCCTCAGCTCTGAGCAGAAGCTCAGGTCAAGGCCCTGTAACAGGTACAGAACCGAGGCCTGAGGCAGTTCCCTGAGTCTCAAACCCACCTCCCCATGATTGGCCGCTACGGGGACACAGGCGTGTCACCTCTGGGGTCTCCCTTTCATCACTTGCTTCTTTCCACCATGCCTTACCCAGGCCTCAGCCACACACAGGAAAAATCCTTGCTTGTGAAATTTATTCAATGTAGATCTTAAGGGTTGAGAAGAGTAGGGGCCCAGCTAAATAAAGGTTATTTGGAGCTGTAATAACCCCACCTTCCTTCTGTCCCCACCTCCTGTGGGCAAATACTAGTAAATGCATCCTTCCAAACTCTTGGAGCCCAGATGAGCCCAGCCAATGATCCTTATGGCCAGCAGAGAGCAGCAGAGCACACCCAAAGGTCTCCCCCTCCCATACTTTGAAAGCACTCTGGGCTGACTTTGTTCTCTGGGAATTTGAGTCCCTGAAGGTCGGAGGCAGAGACAAGCTCCAAATATTTTTATTAGTTCATTGCTTCTCGAATGTAACATTGGGAACTCTCTTTAGAGAGTTTGAAAAGCTCTCTGCCAGATTGTCTACTATCAACAAATAAGTGCTGGCAAGAATGTGGAGAAAAGGGAGCCCTCGTGCACTGCTGATGGGAATGCAGACTGGTGCAGCCACTGTGGAAAGCAGTATGGAGTTGTCTCAAAAAATTAAAAGTCGAACTGCCATTTGACCCAGTGATCCCACTTCTAGGAATATACCCAATGTTGTTTTAAATAGCTTTTCTGTTTTCTGGTAATGCTACTTAAACATGCAAACATAAAACTACCTATAAGCTCCTTATACTGATAACTGCCATACAAGGATAAACAGAAATAAAAATTCAAATTAAATGAGAACGAGTCAACAAACAAAATCAATACAATTCAAAGTCATCCCGTTAATATATGTGATACATCGTGTGCCCATGCAAATCTCCAGCACATAGAACTGTGGCACTTCATTCCAAGGCACATGGTTTTTGTTGTCATTGCTCGTTGAATATATTTATTTTCCATGTGTGGAATGACTGCTCTCCCATCACTTTTTATATTCTAACCACAGGGAAACATCCCAAGCATAGCACACTGTGATGTCATGTGGCCTTTATTTGGTACCAGCTCATCCTATGTGTTCCATACCTGCCTGCTGCCTCTCCTTACTGGCTTGTGACAATTGAGATAGTATTGTTGCCTACAATTGTAAATACCAATGAAAATTCAGATGCTGAGATATATAAGACTTAGTTGGAAGGTGTACCGAAAATGTCTTTTAAAAATTATCCAGATGAAATCACACACAGAAAGAGAAGCACACCATTTGTCGAAAATTCTTAAACTCCAAGAATGCATGTCTGGAGTCCAATCTGACAAATATCTCCCCCAACCTTTGCTTTTTATAGATGTGCAAACAAGCTCAGAGAGAAGGTTCGCCTAGCTAAGGTCACACAGCTTATCTGGTGGTGCAGTTTGAGAACTCTGGACTCCCACTTCGCTAGGCACTGCCTCCCGTCAACACCCCCAGGCAGCCCTTAGGCCTGGCCCA